TAAATATTGGTGTTCAAACATTTCTCAACCTCAGCCCAAACACCCTGGGGCACCACCTTGCAGCTCAAGCACATAATGATCCCATTATTATCTGACACTAGGAGGATTGTAACTAATGGGGATCCTGTCTTCATCCCTGTCAGGTGGGCATTTGCTTTACATTCTCCCAGTCTCTCCTGTGACTTTCCTTTCTCTTTTTTGTTTAGCAGTCTGGACATGAAGCCTGGCCTCTCATGGGATATCTGAATAAAAAATAATATTCACCACATCAGTAAGTTTACTCAGCTGTCTTACTGCGGTGATGCAATGTCTTACTAGAACCGTTTTTAGAGGAGGAAAAGTTTATCTTGGCTGAGCATTTTAGAAGTTCAAACTGTGGTTAGACAATTCCATGGCTCTGGCCCAAGGGGAGTCAGAAAAAATGGCAGCAGGGCCTGGAGGAGGAGAGCAGCTCAGGACAGGGCACCAGGGAGCAGAGAGAGCTCTGCTCACCAGGGACAGGATAGAGACCTCTAAGGCACAGCCTAGGGACCTCCTCCTTCATCAATACCCATCTGCCTAGAATCAGCACCCAGGGAGTCCATTCAAGTGGATTAATCCATTTATTAAGTTACAGCATTCACATTTTATCATTTCATCTCTGACTATTCTTGCATAAACTCACACAGGATCTTTGGAGGAACACCCCATAACTCACCACAGCTCACTCTCATCTGCAATGTTGCAGCCCACCCATTTTCCTATCCTCATTTGAAGTCAGCCATCACGCAATCCTCCTTTACTAAAATTACCTCCTGTTTACTTATAGATCCTGCTTTTAAATAGGTCCAGTGAAGTGGGTATTACTGTGCAATTAAATCTTCATTAACTTATTCAAAGACTCATATTTGAGCATAGAAGATCAAATTTGTTAATCAGTTAGCAACAAGAATAGCAGGAGAGATATTAAAGTGAACAGATAGCAAATCTCTCAGAGTTTGCTCCATCTCAGAAATGATGAAATCATAATTTTTAAAGAGAGAGTCTTTTGTCTACATGCAGATGATTCTGAAGTCCTCATAATCATGCAGATGATGTTGCAAACATTCCTGATCTCATTAGGATCTGTCAATATTTAAAAGAATAAAATTAAAACATCTCCAAGCTGATCTCAGTTGCATGATATTGGGTAACGTTTCAATGAAAAGGAAAAATCCACTCCTGGGTAGTGGAGTGCAGGACTACTCACACACAGCTCTTCTCTCTGGACCTTGTCTGTTCATGTAAGCATTACACAGGGAGCATTTCATTGGAAATTCTACATTTCCAAAGTCACCCTTGGTTGAGAGCTTCTAAGGGGCATGTGCATGTGTGCAACAAATTAAAAATTTTGTGCCAGGAACAATGGTGCATACTTATAATGCCAGTGACTTAGTTGGGTTTAGGATGAGGATCTGAAATTCAAGGTAGTTTCTGAATCTTAGATTCTGTGTCAGAGTACAGAATAAAATGGGATGGAGATGTAACTCAGGTATAGGGAATCGCTGGGTTTGACCTCTAGTTTCCCACCTCCAAAAACTCTAAGTCTTTGAGAAGTATCTGCCAGGGTCATTGGAGATTTTCCATTGCAGGGTAGTTTATTCACACTGAATTTCCCCAGTGTTCAGATTATTCCCTTCTCCATGGCTTCAAAGAAATCTCCCACTCCCTCTCAACTCAAGAACCCCACTCTGAAAACTAAAGGAGTGTTGTTTGATCCATGTTTTAAACACATATAGTCATCTCAATGTCCTGAAGGAGAGACCATTTCACTCCTTGGAACATTTGCAAACTATCCTAAGAGGGAGAAAAATACCTAAGAAAACAAAATGTCAGAAAGTACAAACCTCAAGTGTCTGCTCATCAAGCAAGGTTCTTAGACATCAGGACAGTTATCTAGGAAAGAGAAGGGAAGGAAAAAATAGATCACTGGAATTGCTCAATGTTCAAGGATTTGAATTTTGCAAATGGAAGATATGAATCAAGCTCCCTCTACTTTGGTTTATTTCGGAATACTACAGGAACAGGGAAAGTGACTTTACCTGTTTCAATAACATTTCTTATGTTTTGCTTTGGAATGTTCTTCTCCACCATTATCGTCTCTTCAAAAATCTTACGTTCATCACCCAGAACGTCTGTGTTAGCTGTTTTGCATGTGGAATAACGCAGAAGAGGTTTCTGTTAGAAAGCGTCCTCTGGGTCCCAGGTAGACCAGTTGATCCCACCATCTTCATGCTCTGACTAATAGTACTTCCAGGTCATTCATGGGTGACATAGCAATGCGGGTAAATTCCACTTATGGAACATCATATTATTTATAATTCTTAGAACTACTGAGGACATTCAAGACTCTTTATTGTGTGAACACAGTCCTGTCTAATGTTTTCCCATTTTCCAGAACAAATCCAGGACCTGAGTTTGGGAAATATTTTCTATGGTGGCTTCTCATTTCAACCGTGTACACATTCTACAGTTTATGCCACAGTACTTTGGACCATTCATCCAATATTCAAGACTAAAAGACAGTGCAATTTATCTGAAGTTTTCACATATCATATTAGCATGGTCATCCTTGCTAATGCAAAGCAAATAAATAAAGAAATAATAAATAAAAGAAGAAAAGAAAATCTCCTCATTCATTTTTGAAGGTTTGCAACTTTTAGAAGTGACATTCAGCAAGTCACTCTATGCAATGTGTCTCTATTTCCTGGAAGGCAATATTCAGTACACCTCACTCAATGGACCCTTCCCTGGGAACACATTTCTGTACTAGTACTAGTACTAGCTTTTAGCACAAGCTTTGTACTAGTCTTAGGTACAAAAATATATATATGCTCATACTTCTCTCCTGAACTGATAACAGAAAAGAAATTACTATAGGGGCTGGGGCTGTAGCTCAGTTGGTAGAATGCTGGCCTCCTAAACACAAGGCCCTGGGTATAATCACCAGCACTACAAAAACAAAAATAAGTAAAAAATTTAAATAAAAGAAAATAAGAAAGAAAAGAAAAATAACTTACTATGCCGTGCCTCAGACAATAAATGTCACTTATACTTACCAGCTAGCAGAGTCATATGTGTAACCTTGCCATCTTCATCCATATTTATATTATAAAATACTATGACACCAAGATTGAAGTACTCAATTTGGAAGAAATTTTGCCCTTTGTCTGTGATAGAAAAAACAAAAACACTTCAAAACTCTAAATTATCACTTTCTTAAAAAATTCTTTGGTGTGACTTGCTGGCAATACACTATTATATAATACACTTTTCTTCCAGAATAATCTCTGCTTCACTAAAGTTCCACATTCTGTATCAGAATCAATCACAAAAGCTACAGACAAAGTCCAACAATTCCACATCCCCATGTTAAGGTGGTAAAGAGTCCCTGTCCTTGGAATCATCTAGGCATTCGTGGATGGTGAGTGGTTTCCTGAGAGCCAAGATCCTGGTTGCAGGATCTGCAGAATCATGGTAG